TTTGTTGACATATTTCGGTTATGACATCGAAGCGATGGTTGAGCAGACATCAGTTAAGGCTGGATAGAGTGTGGATACTGACAGATTAATTCACCTTTTCCGCAGAACCCTCCATTTTCTGCCTTTTCTCGATCGAAATGGCGTGATACCCCACATGCATGACACAGCGTGACAGACTAGATTCTAGGCCCTCCTGGTTCACTGTTGCTGTGGTTAGTTCTCAGTCCTCCATCCTCACGCGTGTCGAGAGATGTCAAGAAAGGCAGGCTGTCACGCTTTTTACATCCAGTTTGGTGTAGTTTATGAGCGTTTGTGACGCTAAAATCTCCAAAAATGTGAAAAATTATTCCCACAAAAGGCGATGGTTCACAAATCACGCAAAAGTAAATGCATTTTTCATGGATCACGAGAAAATCAAAAACCAGTTTCCCGATGACGGAAAAATATAGATTCACGAATCACAGAAAAAAAAATCCTCATTCACGCTTCACACAAAGAAAAAACGCCCATTCACGCGTCACAAAAAAAGTATAGGGGACCCTCTAGTTTTACAGAACATCGCTTGGTGCTGGTAGATAGATAGCTTTAATAAGTAAAATCATTGCAGCCCCCAAAGCGGCTGAATTGTGACATACATGTACTTTACAACTCATTAAAATTACAAATATATAAAATAAAGATAAAACCTAAAAATATCGTACAATATGATAAGATATCTAAACTATTTATAATTAAAACTATGCTTCACGATAAAAGTGTTTCTAAACCTATATCTTACAAATGGGCAGTTCGAAGTATCCCTGGCTTCGTGTACAGTAAGTGGACTTGTTACGTGGAGGCAGCAGTTTATGAAGCTTATGGCATGGGTCCACCATAATTTGATCAAATAAAGCTTCACCTAACACCTGTCTCCTCTTGTACAGTGAAGTATAAATGCCTGTAGCTACTAGAACCTCGGGGTAGGATAAGTCAGGATGTAATATCCACAGGGTGCATAGCATCACCTTCTTTGATATGTCGTTGAGATTTTGCTAATAAAAGACTACTACTCAGCTTTTGTGGGAGGCGTGGTGGTCTCATGGTCAGTGCGCTCGTCTTGGGATTGAGCGGTCCGGGTTCAAGCCCCAGCAGGGGACCTTGAGTTGTGTTCTTGGGCATGATACTTTACTCTCACAGTGCCTCTCTCCACCCAGGTGTATAAATGGGTACCGGTGAACTTAATGCTGGGGTGACCCTGCGATGGACTAGCATCCCATCCACAGGGGAGTAGAAATACTCTTAGTCGCTGCATGCTATAGAAACTGGGATAAGCTCCGGCCTGGTGGGCCACTTGGCTCGTATGCAGACTTTACCTTTACCTACTCAGCTATTTGAAGTTTATTTTGTCGGTCATATGGCTCTTGAAATAATTTAGAGCAATTTAAAATCTGTTTGTTTGATGGGGTTGTTCAAGGAGTTTGTTTTAACTTGAAAAAATCTTTTTTTTTTTGCAGCATTACCATTTCTTCGGAGTACAGTGGTGTTACTGTATCCTGTCCTGTTGGTTGTGATTGGATACATAGTGTCTCTGGCTGTTGGTTGGAACATTGGGCAGTCATTTATGCAATTTTATGAGTACAGAGTGGTTTAGTTGACGAGACTGGCAGTAATGATGTGGAAAGTGAGGAGGATGCACACCTCTCCAGACAGCAACTGTTATAAGGATGCAAGGCTGTCGCGAGATAGAAGGTTGTACGCCATGGGAATATCAGTAGTTCAGTCAGAGAAAGCATCATTTTAACAGACAGTAAAATTTGGGTGGTACCATGGAATTAACGAGATATGCAGCCCAGAAGTCATTGTTATTTACCACAGTTGCTGCATTTGAACATGTTTGACTATTGAACAAATAATTTATGGTACTTTTCTGTGGGTAAAAATTATACATGTACTGCAACAGCAGAGGGCAGCTTCAAGATAATTTGAAATGATACATGTATTTAATGTAATATTCCTGTAAAAAAATTAATATTACTTTTGAGCTAATTTTGTATTGAATGGCCTCAGTTATGACTATTCTGGTTCTGTAATATATAACTGGCCTAGCTGATCATTGGTTGGAGAAAGCCATGGAAAAATATCCACGCGAGTGAATGAGATAGAGTATTGTACACCTGAAAAGTCATCTGACATAGCAAATATCACGGAAGACAATGTTTACTATGCACTGTGGGTCTGATCTGTAAAGAGTCAATTAATTTCAGGAAAGGTTTTGGGGTTTTTATACTCTGTTGGTTCCCACATTTGAAAGTAGATAGAAATTTGTGTATTTAAGCTACTGTAGTTACACTGTGCAATATTATTTGCAACTTCTTGCTACATTGTTGCAAGACAAGTTTTACAGAACATTGCTAAGTGTAGAATTGCCTGGGCAACATTCAAAACCCTGCCACAGTGTTGCTGTAAGTATAGCCAAACCTCTACTGACGGTTACTTCTCTACTATGGCCACCCCTCTACAATGGCCAATTTTTTTGTCCTGGCAAATGGTCCATAAATTCACTCTTGTTTTAACCATTCTACAATGGCGACTTCTCGACAACAGCAACGGCCACTAAAGCCTGTCCCAACTGCCAAAATAACCTCTCAAAACTGGCCAGTTCATCGACTGATGAACGGTGTATACAAAACTCCATTTTTTATGGTAAAAGGTGAAATTGATTCATACTGTGCATCGTTGGTCTTTGTTTCTGTTTGGTTTGTATTTTATCGATATAAAATTATTTTGATTGTGATATGTATTTATGTGCTATAATAAACATTTTTTAAAGACAAAAATGTTGCNTGCGCATTGTCATCAGGCCAGTACAGAAAGAGGGGAACTTGTCTGGATTTCATACTCACACAGTTTGTAATTTTCAGGTTTGATCATTCCTCTGAGCTTAAAGTCATCTTAGAGTAAATTTGCTTTGTCTACTTCCTGGCCGTTTGAAAAATGCAACTATTGCAATTTAATTTACATGTAAAATTTCAACTGATTTTAGAGGGTCATAACTCTTCTAGTATACGAATCTTAAAGTAAGTAACTCTTAAGTAAGTAGCTCAGTCTACATAATGTGAGAATAAGACTTGAAGCAAAGAATAATTATAATTATAATTATATTTATTGTGTTGAATATTTTTTAGTCCAGCTTAGTAAAATTGTTAAAAAAAACAGATAAACAACTACTGAAAAGAGTAGAACATTGTATGTCCTAACTAAGCCTTAGAAGATTGTCAAAAACATATATCAAACTACAGTTTCTAAAGCCATACCATTGCCCAAGTTTTCCAAGCATCCTTGGAACACTTGACTGTTTCATTGTAGTCTTCCAAAGAACCCTGAAAATTAAGTTACATGCAACATGTATCTTGCTTTGTACTGTGTCCCTAGTGTAACTTTTAAAAGATCCTACAGTTTTTAACTGATCAAATATCTGATACTTCAAAGTCATGCAATATGTCATTTCAATTCCCTGGAAGAATTTCTACTGCAGTCAATTCCCAGCAAAAACACCGCAGTCTTGCCTTTGACTATTGTACACTTTCAATTTCCATTCATCAAATGATGTAGGTCAAGGGCAAGTAAAAAGCAAAATAATATGGTTACGTAAGTCTACATTACTTTCATGTTTTATGTTATTTACATCCAGATCTAAACACAGAAACTCACTCTAGAACCACATGATTGGGATCAGGCAATTTATTTTAATCCTACACATACAAGCAACACAGAAAATGATTCTGCTAATTACGATCTTTGAATAAACTACAATAAAACTAGGGGCCCATAGAGAGCCTGTACAAGATAATTATAAATACATAAATTACAAAGATTATAAACACAACGAAAATCATTACTGCCATGGAAGTGGGTGGGCGAGAAAGCTAATGCTGGTAACTTGAAAAGCGCGAATAATAGATAGCTATTGCACTATTGGTAGAATGATACTGATGTATGCCAGATCCAAAACTAGGTTACATACTAGGTATTAAACGATACTACAGTTATTTTACTCTAAAGTACGTGGTGGAATTTTACTGGCTTGCTATAGTCTCATGACTTTGCAATAAAGTTGCTCAATCAACTAAAAAGGCTGTGACCTTTGCCTGAACCCAGCTGTGAAACTAATGAGTGGTTGTCATGTCTAGATTCATATTACTGGTATTAATATTCAACTTCAGATATGCCTTGTGGTGAATGGAAATCTTAATACTACATGCAGGTGTGGTGTACGTACAAGTATTAAGCTTCATTAAAAGCTTATTTGTACATGTACAAGTATTTTATCAAGTACAAAAATATTGAGCACAAAACAGCCTCATTGAAGACTCTATACTTACTTGGCGGACTCTTGCAATTGCCCGTCCATTTGAAGGACAAATAGACGTCACCATCTACAAAAAAAGAGGTAGGTAGGTAAACTATGTTTAAACATGTTTGCTCCATAACTATACAATATAAGAAACAAAGCTGATTTCCACAAGGGACGTGTGGCTATACTAGGAGGATTAAAACTATATACAATATTTTCTGTACATAAATCTGACCAAAATCACAGAAACATGCCAGCAAAGAACTCAAAGACAGTCCTAAGTGCTTTGACCACCCCCACCCTCCCCTGGCTAGGAGATTGGCCTGTCATGCATGCACATGGCATGTACCTCTTCAGCAGGGTCCGGCCTGTCAACAAAGTCAATTTCAAAGCTATTTAACAATGAAAACTCAAGTCTAGCTAAGTAAAGGTGTCAGTAAAAGACACCCTTTGCCCTGCTTTTGACAGCTGGACACCAGCAAACCACTGGGAGATAGGCCAGTGCCTGGGCCATGCCCCCTGCAGCCCGGCCTTGATGGAGCCCCCGCTAGGTTTGGAGTAGCCGGTTAGGCTTGGGCTCAGGTGCGGCATTGTGTGTTTACCCACCCTGCTATAACATGTTGCAACGTATTGTGACATGTTGAGTGTTATTGGCTCAAATTTGATCATTTTCAAACTTGCACCAACAACTCCCAACACGTTGCAACAATGTTGAGCCCAGCAATGTTGCGATATGTTGCATTGACATGTTGCAATCATTTGGCTGGAACTCTGCAGACTTTTGGTGTAACAGTTAACACTTAATGACTGGTCCCGAGGGGAACAGTGAATTTTGTTTCCCAAGAATCTCAATGTTTTCCAAGACAAAGTCGAGGGAAACAAAATTCACCGTTCCCCAAGGGACCAGTCATTAAGTGATTTGTTATATAGCAAAACAAATGGGTCAAAAACAAATTTAAAGCAAATATTTTTGAAAAGGCACTGAGATTCCAGCGACAACATCAGACCACCCACAACTGCACCCTCTGATCACGTGCAACAGCGGTCAACATTTTGCGGGTAGCAGTGAACTGTTTCCCATTTGATGTCACAGTTTTTGCAATGTTGCCCGCTCATGGCATTTGGCGGGAAACGGTTTCATTGTTATGTCATGTGACCATGAACTAGCCAATGAATGGGCATGCTGCAGTGGCAGATCCAGACCTTGAGCTGAGGGAGGGGCCTGGTTTTGTTTTACTTGCCCTGCCGGCTTTTCTTCTTTCTGTCATTTCTTCCTTTTTTACCCAAAATAACGGGGCTCCTGGACCCCACGGGCCCCTCCCCTAGATTGACCACTGCGCTGTAGCAGGAAAAACACCAGCTATATAACAAACAGGATTTTTCTTCAACAAACAACAATTTAAGTCTCCAAGGATAACATGTTTTTCTTTCTACCATAAAAATGTAGCCTTAATTTAATCGTTCATTCAAAACTGGTAAAAAAAAAAATTCTCACAGAATCAGGTGCGCGTTAAATAAAAGTGACAATAAAAAGCCGGGTATTTAAAGTGGTAAGTTTAAAACTGATAGTTTATCACAGACTAAACGGCTTAAGTGGCCCTTTGCCCTACTGGGGGATATAAGGCATGATGATGACGATGATGAAACGGCTTAAGTCAATTATGCTATTTAGCTCACCTCTCCTCTTGCGCTCCACGTGCCGTTGAAAACACCATCATTTTCGGCTTTCAGACCGAGATCTTTCAGCCAGGCGTACTTTTCCTCCTTGATCAATAAACTACCACCCTGTGCAGAGCAGAAAGAAGCCCTATTTAAGCCTAAATAGATGGCACGAAATGTAAAAACTTTACACGAGAGTTGATGCAGTCGTACCGCCATGTTGAATCCGAGATGAAAAGAACCCACGTGACTATTTGGAGGCGTTAACAAGGTGTGTGCCTCGTACCCAGATCGTCTTCTTCCTCGCTCGGCGGGACTGTTGAAGTGTTTGAAGCCACGTAGGATTTCGTGGGCAATCAGGCGGAAAAAGGAAGCTTCATTGCGTGTAGAACAGGTAAAAGCCGATTGTGTAGTTGTTATAAAGTTATTTTTGAGTATAAATACTCCAAATTCGCTGCATTTATGACCGGGCTGAGGCATTAGTTCCTCAAAATGTGTTGCAAGAGAACTTTCGCTGAAGACCAAACACCACTAAATGAGCCACGTAAATTAGTTGACTGTCTCCTTACTGCAAAAACTCATTTAACTTAAGCTTATTAACAAGTCTTTAGTGTATGTGTTGTTGATGTTTAATTGTTCCACTATGACAATTTGTGTATAATAACTCTTAATGTCTTCTCTTCTACAGATATTCTACTTCATATAATGGGTGACATTGACACAAACTGCATGACCCTCACTCGCTTTGTACTGACAGAGCAGCGAAAGGTTCCCGGGGCGACTGGAGATCTTACTCAACTGTTAAATGCTATCTGCTGTGCTATCAAAGCAGTTTCCTCAGCTGTGAGGAAGGCAGGAATTGCTCAGCTGTAAGTTTGTGACTCAACAAAAATTTACGGAAATTTGACAGTACACAGTGTATATTGCATCAGTAGTTAGTCAGGCGAAGCATCATGAATGGACCTTGTACCTTTACCCTTTCTTGCAACTGATAGCCAAGTCATGTGGTGGTAATAAGAGAGTTGCCAAGGCAGGGATTGTTCACTCACAACCGAAGAAAATGAAATTTCCTTGTCAGGCAAGCTTAAATTAAGGGAGCATTTCTTTGGGATGATCTGGATCAGGGTCAATGATCCAAGATCACATCACACTCCCATAGTGGTGCTTTATAGAAACTGATGAATCCACTCCAAGGATTTATTGCTTCCTTTGATGTACCATGATCTGAGTGATTGGACCAGTCGAATCATCCCAAAGGAATGCACCTTAAAATAAACAACTGCTGAACAAAAATCATCGTCAGTTGTGGTGATGTGGGCATAATTTGTCATAAAAAAAAGTTGTTTAAATCAGCAGTGGTCATTTGATACATCAAATTCTTACCAGAGTCTAACCATTGTCGACCAGGAAACACAGAACACCTATAATCATGGGATACTATTACCCATCATTCTTTGGAATGAAAGGTTTGGGCCCAGGCTCTTAGGTGTGTGTCACATGAAAATGATCTGGATACAAGAGTTATGTAGAATTAAAAGGGGCACTGGGGTTGAGTTTGTAAATTTGTTCAAAGGATGAGATATTTGCATTTTTGTTTCTTTTAGATATGGCATTGCAGGAGACACAAATGTATCAGGAGACCAACAGCAAAAATTAGATGTCATGGCAAATGAGCTGTTTATTAACATGCTGAAATCCTCTTATACAACATGCCTGCTGGTTTCTGAAGAAGATGAAAAAGTCATCGAAGTAGAAACTGAAAGGCAAGGAAAGTACATGGTTTTCTTTGATCCATTAGACGGCTCATCAAACATTGAATGTCTTGCCGCTATTGGCTCAATATTTGGAATTTCCAAGAAGGTAAAAAGAAGGTTTAAATACACAGAGTTTGGTCACACTTAGGGTGTTCAGGAGAATAAATCCCACTTTTTTTAGCCGTAAAGGCCTCTTTAAGGTTTGCGTATGAATAAATGATAAAAATGTGGCCATACATTTAAACTTTATGCATAGAAGAAGTAGTCAGATCAATTGCAAAGTGTTTACCATCATTAAAATTATCGTTGTGCATACTTGTCTTCTGTTTAAAATTGAATCTTTTAGAGTTCATATAAAGGCACAGGCAGATTGCTCTCCTTAAGGGACTTTATTCATATTTTCCACTGAGCATCCCCGATCCTTTAATGTGGAAGTCCCCCCTGAGGCAGTAGGTTTAATCTTAGTGCTTGATTCAAAAGTCTTGCCAAATTCCAGTACATCACTGGTTAGCAATTCCAGTATAATGGTGTCCTAGAATTTGAATCCAACTACAACTTGCTTTGAAGCTAATTACCACATTATTTTGAACTGTTGTAGACTCATGATGGTCCACCAACGATAGCTGATGCACTCCAGCCAGGCCGGAATTTTGTAGCGGCTGGGTATGCTCTTTTCGGTAGTGCGACAATGGTGGTGATCACAACTGGAAATGGAGTTAATGGATTCACTCTTGATCCGGTATGTTAACCTTACACAGTCCCAGAAAATATGCGTACCTATGCTAGGGAAGGTCACTGGAAATTCTGAAAGAGAGGAGGGTCTCAAAAGCCAACACTTTTAAAGGGAAGTTTGAAGCTGAACTGGGATGTCTTAAGGGCTGGAAGAGATGGAAAATCTAGCCAAAACCTCCTATGTGGAGGGTATGGATATACTTTACAAAAACACATTATCAAAAGTAGTCAGACCTTCAATAGTCTTAGAACATGATAAAGTTGTCAAAGACATATTTTAAAAACAGTCACTGATAGCAAGTATATGACTGTTTGTGTTACCGAAAAGGTGATTAAGGTCACTGATCAAAAGGGTTGGCCTAAGTAGGGCATGCATGTACAAACCATTGTGAAATTTTATCAGTCACATGCCGTTAATTCCATGTGCACCATAGTTGCCAAGAGCAGTTTATTGAAAATAAATCTTTTGAGTGATAACTAGAGGCTTGCCTTTGTTATGAGATAGCTTGGAAAGGGGTTTGAATTCCCAAGTGGTAGTGGACTTCAGGTGGAAAACCTTGGAGACTCCAAAGAAGGAGGGATGCCACCAACAAATTAGCCAATCAGGATGAGATAAAAATTCCATTGGGGTGGGTCCATGGCAAAACCCACCAGCAGGGGTGCTATGGATGTTTTCTGGAAGTATGCAATTCATCTCTATTTGATTATGAATTCCTTGTCTTATTCAGTCCATAGGTGAATTTGTTTTAACCAATCCAGATATTAGAATGAAGCCACGTGGAAAGCCAATATATAGCATAAATGAAGGGAACGCATGCTTGTTTGATGATGCAGTCACTAAATATCTAGAATCTATCAAATTTCCAAAGGTGAGGAGGCTGGAACCCTTGTTATAGACTATGAGTAGCCCCTCTTTCTCTTAGTCTGTCGAGCAACTTTCGTATGCTTCTTGCCCCCAGGAGTTTGAATGGCCATTTTTTTCTCACGGTTTTCTTTTGTGTCGTACACAACGGACTAAGCAAAAGAGGGACTACTCATAGTCTAGGCTTGTTATGACACAAGGGACATGAACTCAGAAGATCTGTTGTTTTCTACCTGAAGTGCTTTGCAGACTAAGTCTAAAAAGCAAAATGACCAAAATGCACCACTGACTTTTCTAATGGATGACCAGTTTTACAGTCTATTATTTTTTACATCTTCAGGGTTGACTATTGTTAGAGTACACTACTGTAGCTAATTTTTTCTTGCAGCTTTTCTCACAACTTTGTTATGTTGTTGTAAGACTAGTTGCACAAGATGGCAATGTTGCAAGCTTAGTTATAACCCCCCACCCCTATTGAATAAATTATTGTATCATAATGTTGTCTCTGAAACAATCATGCAGAAACTATTAATAGTACACATGTCCTTGATTCTAACAGAGACCCAGAAGTTCTGATTCTTCTTTGCATAATGCTATTTGATGTTGTTTAAATTTTTGTTCTCGTAGGATGGGAAGACTCCATATGCAGCTCGTTATGTTGGTTCTATGGTGTCAGACATGCACAGGACGCTAGTGTATGGAGGAATTTTTATGTACCCTGGAAACAAGAAAAGCCCTAGAGGAAAGGTTTGTTGTACAAAGTTATCTGACTAATATATATCCTGAGAAGAAATGGACTAGAAATTAAATTTACTTCAAATTTGAGACTTTCGTGTGTTTGAAAGAAAAAGGCTACCTCACAATGTGTTAGACAAACACGCTTAACTTTTGTTCTGGGAAGTACAATTGTCTAAAATGCAATTTAATGCGGGTTATTTACTTCATGTTGTACAAAGTGTTAAATATGTATTTGAAGTAAATTAAAAGTATATGAGAGAAAAGGAATAAAAATATGCAAATTTTACATGGCTGTATACTATTGAGTAATCATCAATATTAAAAATCAAAGCTTGTTTTATGGCTTTCAATCTCAACTTCATGTCATCATAGCCTAAAGCCTGGTTCACACTTGTGAGATGTGCATAACACAAGTGAAATAAGCACAAACATAAGCACAAGAAAAGGAAACATGTTCCTTTTTTTCTTGTGCTTGTGCTTATGCTTATTTCACTTGTGTTATACGTATCTCACAAGTGTGAACCAGGCTTAAGGCTGGATGTGTGAAGCCCTCTGGGTTACTGTTAAATATTCACCTCTTACTAACCGAGTGCAAGCATGTCTGGTAGTCTTTAGGCATGTCACACTTATTTCAGTCTGAATTCCTCTGATATCCTCATACTGGCCTTTAAATCCCCCCAAAGCTTTAAGGCAGGTGAGGTCACTGTCATCAACCTCATAGAAAAGTTTTGCCACCTTACTTTTCTAATCCTGGAAAAATGCCTGTTTTTCTTGAATTCCCTTGTCTATCATGTTGTACAGAATAAAGGGTGTGTTCCTTTGGGGTGATCTGGATCAGGATCAGTGATCCAAGATCTGTCTGGATCATAGTGCATCAAAGAAACCGATAAATCCATGACCAGAGTGGATTCAAAAGTGAACATAAAATAAATGACATTTTAAAAAGATCACTGCATTTTTATTGGGTTTGTTATAAATAGATACATGAAATTTTTTTCAATGATGTGTTCTTAGACTTTTTTCATTATTATTTTTTGACAACTTTCTGATGCATTCTGCTTAATTTGATCAATGAAATTAATTTTCATCATAATTGTGATGGTGCAGTACACAGGCCAACAGTAAAAAATAATTTTAATTTCCAGCCTGGGGAGTGTTTTCATGTCACCTTAGAATTTTACGTGCCAATCTCCTGATTGTTCAAATCAAACTGACACCATCAGATGGTTGTCAAGATGTCAAAACTTTTTTATTGGCAGTAGTATGGTGCACAGGTGTTCAGAAAAATCCATACCTCCCATGACAGGTTTTCTGATTTGAACTTTCCACACCTCAAATTCCTGGCCCTGCCCTCTTGGTATTTCCAGTGACCTTCAATATGGTGGGTTATGGGTATGGATATCGGAACTACAAAATACTGATGCTAACAATATTAAAGTAAGCTTTTGTTGAATTATTAATAATTATATAAAACTCTGACTACCGATGGTCAATTTCTTCGTCCCTTTATAGAAAAAAACATAGTCAGTTTTGATTTTGGGCCATACAGTCATTTTTACCCAAAGTTATTTTTTGTAATTCCCTGCTCTTTAATTTCTAGTTTTTTAATATCTGGCAAATTATTGCAAATAATATATTACTTCATTGTTTGATTAATTTTGATAATTAATTTATAAATTAACATGAACTGCTTTCAATCAGTACAACAAGAATTAGAATGCTGTATGACAGCGACAATTTCTCTGCAGATCAGATTGCTATAATTTTTAAGTACTTCCTACTTGTCTATGAATAACATTTTGTTTGAAGCAGTGCAGTTCCTTTTCCTTCCATCCCTCCAGTATTTAAGCTCCAGTAAATTTCTTCATTATTGAGGGGAAAGCATCCAAGGCCTTTGTGGCTTTAGCACTAATAAGGCTGATTGCAGTCTTGCAGATCTGGATTATACAATAAGACAAAAATTAAACTCATCTAAACTACATGGACACGTAACAAAAGTATTGTTGATACTGACTTGTTTCCTGTATAAAAAAATATGTGTTATAAAAATATCTTTATAAATGCTAACATCACTATCAATGGCTACCTGGTCAGACAGTTGGTCTTTGAGACTTGCTGCCAATTCATCAGCAAACAAATTGTACAGCCAACTAAAAAGATAGCAATTTGTTCAGTAAAAACATATAACAGATTCTACAATCATTTAATTCATTCTGCTTTTATCAAAGTCTTGTACTGTATGAAGGACAAGAAAACGACTGACAGCAAAACACAAGGTCTCCTTAAATCCTAGTTACCAAAAATGGAGAAAGGTGCAACTCCTAATTTGTCCTTAAATACAGGGTTGTCACAAAATTTTTACATAATTGGCTTTATTTTTAGATTATAGAAGGTAATTGATTTGGATCATGTTTACTGTAGTTAGCGTCAGCCAACACTAGACCGATACATGTATTTTGACTGACACTCAGTCTACACATTGCCAATATACGGCCAATATATCGGTCTACAATTGGTCGAGTATTGGTCAATATGTCAGTCGTTTCTCAACCGATACCAAACCAACACTTGACCGTCACTTGACCGACACTCAACCAATACTCTACAGACACTCGACCAACTGTCAGCAGATATATTGGCCGTGTATCAGTCAACACATGGCCGATTAAGGACGATACTTGGCCGACGTATGGACCAAGCAGCAATTGATATATCAGTCAATGGCATTGACCGACACTACCTACAGTAAACATGATCTGCTGATTTTGTTATTTCTTTCTAAAGAATCACAAAAATACCCAAGCATATAGAAGCTGACCACGACTGTAAAGAAGGAATGCCAATTTCTGCCAGCGGTCAGCAACGTTCGACAACACTGCAAATTAATAATTTCCTTATGCACAAACGCGGTAGCCTATGAACCCTTATTTCCAGTAATTTGTTGTTCCACATTGTAAGAAACAATTGACCAAGATCTCCCTCTGTGTTCACAACCTACGCCTTGCCAGCAATGGGCCAAGATAACCCAAACACAAGTTTGTTTGACTATTACCTTGCACCTCCTTTAAACTTGACATGCACGGAGCCAATCTTCATCACACAGTCCTTGGCGCTGACTTTCCCCTGATTCTTTCCCAAATCACCTTCAAGAACAAAAATATTCATATCAAGTAAATCAGTACTACATTAATTAGTGAAGAATTAAGATCAGTGATTAATTAATACTAACCATCTACATAGAAAGCCATTCCAAGTGATAAATCTGTGATTGACAGGTCGCATGATCCTGAATCAGAGATGTGAGGCCTTCAAACAGGAAAAATAGTTTAAATTATTATTATCTGGCTTTTTGCTATAATTTATCAATTATTTAGGTTATAACAATTTGTTATGATTCTGCTTCATGACTTGTAATCACCCTTGGCTGTTCATTAGTGCAGTATGTACAATTTTGATTGTAAAATATTGCTTCAGGCAAGATCATGTGGTTCTAACCAATCAACATCAGAATTGCCAGCGTCTTGCAAGAGAAAAAGAGAAGAACCTCATCCCTAGAGCAATTTATAAGCAGATTACTATTAACATCTACATGATCTATCTTGTTCTGCCCAAATGTCTGCTAGTAGTCAAGATTGCTTATTTATTTAATACTGTCAAATCACTTCATTTTGGTACACAATGTCTGTAGCATATAATTTACTTTATTTATTATCTACATGTATGAGCATAAAAAAAGTCTCACTTAATAAATAATATATTGTCAGAAAAACAAACCAGGAACTCTCTTTGTAGTGCCAAACTGCTCCTATATTTCCAGAAGCTTTGTCAGCAGTAATCCGTAAGCCATGCTCAGGTAATAGAGACACATTGGATTTCCCAATGGCAACATTAGACAACTTGATCCTAACATAAAATACATTGAGTAATAATATTAAGTAACTGCAAAATGTTAACAATGTTAAGGACTGTACTAGTCTGTCAATGTGCAACAACTTAGTCTGTCTTAGTCTGTAGACCGTAGTCTGTAGACCGTAGTCTGTAGTCCGTAGTCTGTAGTGTGCAGTGTGCAAAAACTTAATGCTAACGTAAAATTGTTACCTAGCATTCTTAACGCATACTTACAGAATTTAAAGCATGATTGCATGCATTGTAGGAGAGACTTGTTATGGTAATAATAAAATTGATTTTTTTTTAAGAATAGTGGAGCCCCAGGTCTTATTTTGAGAGATGAAAGTGATATTTTCTAGTTTGATGAGAACAATTTGGTGGTGGCAATGATAGGGGAAGTTAGGAGGGAAGGAGAGGTGCAGGTTAGTTTTTAAATATTTGGATTCATAAGGATCCAACTGCCTGTTATATTATTATTTTTTTTTTTTGAGTAACACCCCCAATACCACACCCTACACTAGACTGACTAGGTTCTCAAAGATACCAGACCAAAGCTGACATGGACTAATCTGTTCAAAATAAAAGAATAGCAAAAAAAAAAACTTCTGTCAGTACTAAAGACCTGTCAATTCCCCAGTTCTACTGGAGAGTATCCATGGAATGATGAACTCTCTTGTGGCAAATAAGATTTTGTGAGCTGATTTCTTCTAGTAATCTAAACATTATGCTCAAAGAAATTCTCCAAGTTTTCACTGAGATCCTCAGGTTAATTTGTTCAATAGACCTGTTTGTTTTGAAAGATTTCCTTGACTGTATCATTTTTGCGTTCGACGAATTTTGACCTGTGGCTTTTCAGAGTTGGTTCCCCTGTGCATGGTTCTAGGCTGAAAAGAACCACATTCCTGTAAGGACACCAAAATGGCCACCCCGCTTGATTTTTGCAGGGGCATGTCACAGCCAGTAAACTGGTACAGTTTAATGCTAAGACATGTGATAAGACATGTGGCGAACATGTGAGTCTGTGAGCAGGCCATGTGCTCGTCTTTCCGATGGATCTTTTTTTGACTTCTTTCCATTCAGTCGCTGTACGCCTCGCTATTATGTGCTTTCAGCGTTAGATTTTGGCGAATTTAAACGCTTCGACGGCAGCATTTATCGCAATCTGAGGGAATTGTCCTTGTTTATTAACACGA